GTTGAATCCTGCATGCCTTCTGTAGGGAAAATCCATGCTGAATTGATGCAAAGACTCCCATGAAGCCTCAGCATTGAAAGTACCAAGAAGAAATGGGAAGGCATGGAGCTGAAAACTGGAACAAATTTGCAGGTCTTTAGTAAGACCCTTAGGTCTCTTCCTCCCAAATGAATCGTCAGGTATCCCCAAGGACCACTCAGTGCAGGAAGGACAAAGTGAATGGGGAGGGGGCTCCAGAGAAACAAAAAAGGGACAGCTGAAGGGTAAAGGTGTAAGAGAACAGCAATGACTCAGCCCCCCACTGGTTCCAGAATGATCTCTAAGGTACTTGTCTACAGTAAAAATCTGCAATTCTATTTAAAATGTGGCTACTTTAAGTAGTTGACGTGCTTTTTAGTCAGTGGCAATTCTTGTCCATTCCCTATACTATGTAGCAATTCAATCTAAGATAGCATTAGAGATAACAGAAAACCTCCAGTTAAGATCATCTAATGGGTCTTCCCCCACCCCCCAAAGTGACTAATTATAAAGGTGTGAGGCAAAGTAAGGGAACCAAAGGAATCATACAAGAATCGGTAAAGCTGTTAGGACTCCTGAGCCCAAAGCAACAGAGGAGGGAGACATCTTAACCAGAACTGGGAAGGGGACATCTTGTAGAGCAAGCCATTTTCAGAGGGAAACAGACCAGATGAAGGCAACAGATACCCTGAGATGGCCTTTTAAGGAAAAAGTCAGGGAGTAAACACCCGGACCCTGTTCTGTTCACATCCCTTACTCTTGTCTGTGCTCCTTCCTCATTGGCCAAACTCAATCAGAAGCCTTGGGTACCACCTTTTGATGTTCTCTCTAACAATGGTCTCCAGGACAGCAAATCTGTTAGTGCTTTCCTTTGCTAAAGGAGTAAAGGAAAGTTCTCCAGTGCAGATGTGCACATCAGAAGGTGAACCTCATACATAGCTTTAGAGTAGACTGGAATGCATTTGTGTTTTTGCAATTTCTTGATTTGTGGATGTTAGTTGAAAAAACTGGAGACATTCCGAGGTGTGAAAAAAAGAATCTAGAATATCTATCTATCAATTTATGAAGAGACATTTTAAGGGCACAATGGAGCAAGGGTATTAATAGTTCGGTTAAATTACAGGTGTACAAAGGGAACAGAGAGACAGGTTCAGGAGCTTCCTGTGGCCAAAGGAACTCCACAGTTCCCCAAGTATCGAACATTTGATTTCAATATCTGGAACCACCTTTTCCCTTTTGGTTTGCTTCTTTTGACTTCAATACTGGATCGATGACTGGTGGCATGCATTTTAGTATTTGCTTGCTTTTCATCTGTATAAATAAATCCTCTTCTCTTTCCCTGTTCACATCCAAGAAATTGTTTCAGCTACACATCTGGTAATAAGGCATTCTTTGTCAGAATTGCCTAATTGTGTGGTTTTTCTTAGAGACCTTCTATCTTGTTTTTGCAACTGGGGCGGTAGAGGATTCCTAAGCAGACAATAGTATTGTATAAGAAAGAGAGGAAAACATTCATTACAACACGTACTGCAGTGTATGGAGAATCACAGGAAGGATGTCTATTGCTACATATAGAATCACTATTTGCACTTATTTAGATTCTAAGTATCTTACTGTACACACAAGCTTAGGTTTCTCAATGTAACTACGTTGGTCTGCATAAGACAAGAGCACTGTTAGTGGAATGGTCTCTATTATCAAAGGTCGGCAGTTTAAGACCACCAGTCAGTCGCTCTCTCTGTGGGAGAAAGATGTCGCAGTCTGCTTCTGTGCAAACTAGAGTTATGCTCTGTCCTATTGGGTTGCTATGGCTTGACATTGATTTGACACCAGTGTTTTGTGCAAGACAAGTCTATCATTTCTGGCTCTCACATCTTGCCAATCCTTTGAGATCTAGGTTAGCACAAGTTGTACACAGCCTCAGATACTGTTAGCTGATGTTGAGTTGACCCCCGTCATGGCCAGCATAATGAAGCATTCCGATCCACAGGGTTTTCAGAAATAGATCACCGGGTCTTTTTTCCTAGTTTGAACCTGGTTGTCCCATGTAAGACCCATTGCTGTGAAGTCCATTCTAACTCTTGGTGACCCCACAGGACACAGTAGAACTGCCCATTACACCTTTCTCCCTTGGATCAGGAGCTCTTGCTGTTAGCAGCTGGTGCTTAACCACTGTACCACCAGTGCTCCAGCCTGTTGTTGTTGTGATGTGCCGTGGAGTCGGTTCCGAGCACAGTGACCCTGCACACAGTTTCCGAGGCTGTAAATCTTTACCGGAGCAGAACGCCTCATCTTTCTCCTGCGGAACCGCTGGTAGTTTCAAACTACTGACCTTGAGGTTGGCAGCCTGACTCGTAACCACTACAGTTATGAGTTCAAAACTACCACTTGTTCCGCAGGAGAAAGATGAGGCTTTCTGCTCCCCGTAAAGATTTATAACCCGGGAAACCCTGTCCAGCATTGCTAGGAGTCGGAACTGACTCCGTGGCACATCACCACCACCACCTCAATAGCTACCCAATTTTGGCAGTAGCCTTTATTCACCAGGGGAAAATTCAGAGCTTTGTCACTTGCTTTTAAAACTGCAGACTTGAACTTCCTACCACCACTTGTTGTTAAGTGCCATTGAGTCGGTTGCCTCTCACAGTGACCCTGTATTAGGGTTTGCAAGGAGTGGCTGGTGAACTTGAACCGTCGACCTTGCAGTTCAAGCCAACCTTACACCTTGCAGTCCAGCGCATTAACCCGCAGCACCAACCACATCAGAACTCCCACCACTTAAGACGCCTCCATCCAGGTATAGTTTGGATCATTTCAAATGCAACACAGTTTCCTCTTACAGTTCCTGAAAGCGCCTCACCATTAACCCAAGTCATTCATTTTAAGTCTTCCGGCTTAGAAATTTGGCAATTATTTTCAACATTCCATTTTCCTCTTCCCTCACACCCACATACCTTGCAAATTTTATAGGTTTAATTTTATGTAAGACTCTGGAATCCACCCATTCCTCTTTCCCATTCTAATTTCACCAAAACTGTTAAGAGTTTCCTCTTGAATGGGTTTTCTAACAACAATCTCTTCTTCTTTCGGCAGTCTTTCTAAACACACATTTAAGGACATCCTTGCGGTTTTCTCCCTGGGCCCCCCAAAATCTACTGCCCTGAATGCTCCCTCAAGATTACCCTTTTGGAGACTTTCCCCTTTTCTGACCTGTGAAATCGCAGTGGGACCTGCTTACTGTCTCATCCTAAACACGCTGTCCTCTTTATATTTGTTAAGTGCTCTGGGGTCGCTTCTGACTCACAGCCCCCCTGCATAGGGTTTCTGAGGCTGTAAATCTTCAAGGGAGCAGAAAGCCTCATCTTTCTCCCGCGGAGCGGCTAGTGGGCTCGAACTGCAGACCTTGTGGTTCGCAGTCCAGTGCTTATCGTATGAAGCCACCGAGCTCCCTCTTTTTAGTTGTTGTTAAGTGCCTGCGAGGTCGGAATAGAGACCCAGGAGCAGCTGGTGGGTTTGAACCTCTAACCATGTGGTTCGCAGTCCATTGCAATAGTCTTTAATGTACTCCTAATCTCAGCGTAGTGGTTACGAATCGGGCTGCGAACCTTAAGGTTAGCAGTTTGAAACTACCAGCCGCTCCGCGGGAGAAAGATGAGGCTTTCTACTCCCGTAAAGATTTACACCCTTGGAAACCCTGTACAGGGTCGCTATGGGTCGGAACCGACTCGACGGCACTTCACAACAACAACAATGTCTGGTAGCGTAGTGGTTACGAATTGGGCTGCGAACCACAAGGTCAGCAGTTCGAAACGACCAGCTGTTGCGGAGGAGAAAGAAGAGGCTTTTTGCTCCCGTAAAGATTTACAGCCTCGGAAAACTTGTACAGGGTCGCTGAGTCCGAACTGAATCCACGGCACATAACAACAACAATCTTAGTCGAACTCATAGTTTATTTTCCTACTTTCAGCCGTTTTCTCCCTTCTCATGGGGAGTGGTGCTGCGTGGGCCCTATTTGGGAGACTACGATTCCTAATTAACTTTCTTTTCCGTGAGTAGCTGTGCGTTTTTTAAAGCAGTTATTTCCCATGAGCCCGCAGCGCTGTAGGCCAAACGCGGAAGGCCTACACACTGCGACGTCCGCCCCGACCACAGGCGCCCTGGCCTGGCGGGAGCGGCGTCACTATCTCCGGCCGCCGCAGGCAAACACAGGGAGCGGATTTCCGCGCTCAGGCCGCACACCACGACGCACAAGAGGCCGCGGGACCTTTTTCGCGCGGCCGGTCCCGCCAGTCCATGAGGAGCGCGCTCACTCCTTTCAGCACTTCCTGAGAATGTCGGCCGCGCCCGCCAGTGCCTCCTTGTCAGGAGTCCACAAGTGACCTCGGGTTGCTGGTTTGGGGTGTGTTTCTGAGACTAGCGAACCGTGCCCGTTAGACCTGAGGAGTCGCCCGCCCTTCGACACGGACACCACATCCCACAAAAGCCGCCCGCATAAGCGACCCTATAACTGTCCGAAAGCCGGACCAGAGGGCGTGCCCTGGGACCAGGTGCAGGCCGAGTAACGGCTCCCGGCAGCCCCGCCCACTTTCGTTCCCTCAGGCCTGTCGCCTCCTCCCGGCCGCTTCCACTTTAAGGCGAGGCCCGGCGTGGATCTCGCGAGATCGTGGTTGGCGCCGTGACCTCCATGTGGGAGCTCCAGCTCTATAAGTAAACACTCCGCGCGGCGCAGACATGGCTCCTTCCTATTTGTGAAGCGGGGGCTGCGGCAGCCGCGGAGCCTCCGACTGGTTCCGGTTTCCCTTCCTCTTAAGCTCGGCTGGGCGGGCGGGCGCGCGGTCTAGGAGCTGCCGCCACCGCCGCCTGTCGGGCCCGGCGTCTGGTCGGTCCTCGTCCCCGCGCGCGCCCGCCCGCCGCGGGGACCGGAGCCGGGGCAGCGGCGCCCCGAGCCCAGGGGGAGACAAAGGGGGGGGCCCGACGCCACGATGTGGATCCAGGTGCGCACCATCGACGGCTCCCAGACGCGCACCATCGAGGACGTGTCCCGCAAAGCCCCCATCGAAGAGCTGCGCGAGCGGGTGTGGGCGGTGTTCGACGTGCGGCCCGAGTGCCAGCGCCTCTTCTACCGGGGCAAGCAGGTGAGGCGCGGCCGCGAGCGCTGGGACGGACGGACGGACGGCTTCCGGAACTTGGGGCCCTCCTCTGGCCCTTCTTCCCGGGAGTCGGGGAGATTAGAGACCTGCTGCCGGGTGAGCAGCAGCCCCTTAGAGAGAGATGTACCGGGGACCCAACCAGAGCTAGACTCGGAGGCTGGAGGTTGGGGGGCCTGAGGCGGGATGTGGCATCCCTGGAACGAGGAAGGGGTGTCCGGTCCCAGCCAGCTCCGCGGGGCTCTTCCCAGACCGTGCCCATCCTGGCTTCCTGGTCTTTGTCTTTGTGTTTTTTTTTCCGTTCTACTGTTAACCCATTGGGAAAAGAAAAAAAAAAAAGTTGGCATGGTCCGGTTGGTGGAGCGGAGATTGGCAGCAGTCCCGGCCGTGCGGAATCCGCGGGGCCGGCTTTGGTTTGGGGTGGAAGTAGCGGGAACCACAAAGGATGGGAAGGAGGCGTCCCGGCCCCGACGCTGCCAAACGGCTACCCTCTAGGAATCCAGAAAGCCCGGGTGGTGTTTCTGTTGGATTTTGTTTGTTTGTTTTTTTAAAAAACACAAGTCCTAGCAGCTTTGATGTGTGTTTGCAGGCTGGGTGAGATTGGTTCCTTATTGTATATGACTTGTAAAAAACAGGTGTCTAATTTAGTTGTCAGCTTGGCTTTTGAAATAATTGTACATGCATTAGATGCGATTCCTGTTCGGTTACGGCGGCGCTGTAGAATAAACACTGGACCGCAAGGTGACTTCGCAAGGTCGGCGGTTCGAACCCACCAGTCGCTCCTCGGCACTTCGTAACAACTATATGTTGTTAGTTGTCTTGGGGATGCCGCCGACTCGTGGCCACATCATGTGAGCAGGGTTTTCTTGGCTGTAGACCTATAAATCACCAGATGAGCCACTGGCTGGGTTCCTGTGGTTTCAGTTAGCAGCGTTTAGCCGTTTATGCCACCAGGGGTCTTTGTATTAAATACAGTCATCCGTCGGTGGGCTTGTTCCAGGACCCCCAAGTCCCTTCTATAAAATGGTGTGGGATTTGCATATAACCTGTGCACTTCCTCGTGTATACTTTTAAGTCATTTTCTACACTGTGTTGTTAAGTGCCATCGAGTCGGTTCCGACCCATAGCGACCCTATAATGGATTTCCAAGGAGCGGCTGGTGAGTTTGAACCGCCGACCTTACAGTTCAAATGGCTTTGAAGTCTGGCGCATGAACCCACAGCGCCACAGGTGGCGGCTGTATGCCACTGAGTGGGATCGGACTCATGGAGCCCCTGAGTAGGATTTAAATCTCTAAGGCTGTAAATCTCTAAGGGAGTGGAAAGCCTCCTCTTTCTACCGCGGAGCGACTGGTGGATTCCAACTCCTGACCGAGCGGTTAGCAACCTGGCTCAGAACCCACTAGGCTACCAGGGCGCCTTCTCATAGAACCTAATACAGTCTCAATGCTGTGTGAATACAACTGGTAGCTCTGTCCTAGCCTTTGACGGAGGGATTGCTCTGACTACTTATTTCAACCCTCTTTCTTTCCCCCAATATTTTTGATCCGAAAGTTCTTACAAATAGCAAGGGCCCACTGTAATAGGTAGCTGTGTATTGCGGTGCTGTAAGTGGCTAATACCTTTTATTCTCTTGTGATAAAAGGTGACAAGCATGTGACCAAGTCTGAATGCTTACTGTCTAGATAGACATTAACTCCTAGGACACTTGGTGACTACGACACCAGAGGTGGAGAGGAAGCATGAGGATGTTTTCCTGGACAATACCCCTAATTCTCCCATATGTGAAAATAAAATATGATTCTGGCTGTCTTCATGAAAGGGTGTGGTGCACTTTGGGTTAAACTCTGGACAACAGAGCGTAGACTTCAGGAAACTAAGAAGCCAGGTCCAGATACTGGGAATAACTGTTGAGGAAAGCAGCCCTTTTTGTGGTTCTTCCCCAGAAGAACAGTCCGTGTAACTCACCACGTCACTTGGTTTCTTTAGCCATTGACTTAGGGAAGGAGCTCTCCTAGTGTAGTGGTTACGAATCGGGCTGCTAATCTCACGGTCAGCAGTTTGAAAGTACCCGTTTCAGGGGAGAAAGATGAGGCTTTCTGCTCCTGTGAAGATTTTACAGTGTCAGAAACTCTGTACAGTGCCACTATGAGCCGAAACCAACTCCACACCACATAACCACAACAACATTGACTTAGGGACAGAAGGAAGACACTGCTGCCATCTGTAGTCTCTTCCTTATTTGCTGACGAGAGGCCTTTGCAGTGATTGGGATGGGCTACATTCTCTTCCTGACTCAGGGCTCCTGTCTTGCCTGGAGAAGGCTGTATGTGGCGTGGCTGAGCTGCCTCTATCCTGTAGGACGCCTTTATACTCATTAGAAAAAGGCCACATTGAGGAAAATGCCATAAATACAGCGTGTCTACATTGTAAGTGGAGTCCTGGTGTGGCAGTAGTAGTAGGACTAGTATTGGACTGCTAACCGCAAGGTCGGTGGTTCAAACCCACCAGCCACTCCTCATAAACCCTATACAGGGTTGCTATGAGTTGGGACCGACTTGACGGTACTGAACAAACAGCAGCAGCAGTCCTTTGGACTGGTTCTTAATCTTTGATTTTCTTTACTCTTCTTTGCTCTAGACAGGGAAAGACCAATTATTGTGCCTTTTATGTCAAAACTCATGGAAGTAGCAGTCAAGAAATCAAACAACATATTGCACTAGGCAAATCTGCTGCACGAGACTTCTTTAAAGTGTTCAAGAGCAGAGATGTCAATTTGAGGACTCAGGTGGGCCTGAGCCAAGCTGTGGTATTTTCAGTAGCCCTACATGTAGCCTCTGAATAAAGAAGACCGTAGGAGACTTGATGGATTTGAGTTTTAGTGGAGAAGGATAGTAAAAGTACCAGACTGCCAAAAGAACAAACAAATCTGTGTTGGAGAGAAGTACAGCCAGCACGCTTCTTGGAAGCCAGGATGGTGAGACTTTGTCGCTAATCCTTCAGACATCATTATCAGGAGGGAACTTGGAGAAAGGATATCATGCTTGGTAAAGTGGAGTTGGAGGATCAGCGGAAAAGAGGAAGACCACCGAGGTGGATTGAAACTGGTGACAGCAATGGGTTCAAGCACAACAGTGTTTTTGAGGCTGGCCCAGGACCACCGGGCACTGGTTTCTTTTGTGCAGAGGGTTGATATGAGCCGAAACCCACCCCATGGCACCTAATAACCAAATGACTGTTAGACAAGATTTTAAGATCCCAGTCACTACTCATCAAAATGGAGTCCTGGGGTGGCCTTGTGGGTTAATGAGTCAGACTGCAAAGTCATTTGAACTGCAAGGTCGGCAGTTCTCAAGCTCACCAGCTGCTCCTCGGAAACCCTATACGGGGTAGCTATGGGCACTTAACAACAACAACGGCTCAGGGTTGTTGTTATCTTTGTGGTGTAAACTGTTATCTTTGTGGATTGTGTTATGTATGGGATTTGGGATCTTACTCCTCTAGATTTGATCCTGAGCCCCCAGGCCCAATGACTGATTCCCTCAGGGTTTTTGGTTAGAGCTGAGAAGTTTTCAGAAGTTTGCACTCTTTATACTTATGAATATATTTGCAGCACATACAAACATAGGTCGAAATATTCTCTATCAAGCCTATACATAATCTTGAATGTAATCCCGTTTGCTTTCCCACACCTTTTCAGATTATTGTCATTACTGGTGTTGCAGGATTGTGTTTGTAAGGTGTTTATTGAGCTGATCCCGACTCATACTGACCCTGGATAGGTTTCTGAGGAGCAGCTGGTGGATTTGAACTGCCGACGTTGCAGTTCAAACCGACCTTACTGTCCAGTGCTTTTGCTACAATGCCACACCAGGACTACCTCCTAATTAGTGTCCACTTTTCTTTAGTTGGAGCCCTGGTGCAGCTCTGGGTTAGGAATTGGCTGCTAACCACAACGTTGTCAGTTTCCTTAAAGATCTACAGCCTTGGTAATCCTGCAGTGTCATTAAGAGTCAGGAAATGCCTTGTTGTCCATGGGTGAGGTTCTTACTTAAATTATGAACAGAAAAAAACACTTTATTCATAAGCCTAGGGTGCCTCATTTAATTAAAATATCACAGGAGTCAGTTACTAGGAAAAAATTCAGATAATTCCTTAGTCCACAACAATTAGTGACTGCATTTTTAGAGATCCTTATTTAACTGTTTTGTTTTAAAGAAAGATACATGTGATCTTAAGAGCTGCTCCTTGCATGGGTTCAGATAATTTCTGTTGGCTCCTTTTCAGTGTTTGGTGTGCTTTTTTTTTTTTTTTTTTTTTTCAGGATGAGTTGAACGTGAAACAGTAGACAGGTAGCAGTACACATCTACAGCTAGACTCTGATTTTAGGGGTCCTGGTGTACCCCACTATAGGATAAACTCTGGACTGCTGACTGCAAGGGTGGCAGCTCAAACTCACCAGCTGCTCCTCAGAAGCCCATTATAGGGTTGCTATCTGTTAGTTCAACAGCATCAGACTTAATCTATCAGTCTTCAGAACAGGCCTCGTAGTACGGGAGAGACGTGGAGTATAAAGAATGACATTTTAATGTTTGTTCTCTGTTAGCAGGTATGACTACAAGGAAAATGTTGAGTTCCTTTTGGAGAAAAGCACCCCATTTGAAATGTGGGGTGTGAGTTACTTCAGCGTAATTAGAGGGCTAAGAGAGGAAGATGTGAGAGCTTATCAAGGATTTGAGACAGGAAGTCAGGTGAGGGATTTTGTAATATTTTGAGACTGAGGAAAATGGGAGTGGTCAGAAAGGTAGGAAAACGAGTCAGTGTATTTTTGTTTTTTGAGACAGAAGAGATGATTGATTGTACATGTTACATTCAGCCACAGCAGAACAGAACTAGTCCAGAATGTCGTAGTTCCAGGGACAAAGGATCAAAGTGAGCTGGATTGGTACTGCTAGGTGGCTTTCAGGTGTTCATAGCGTTTGTTAAATG